CTGCTGTCCCCATGTCTGTCCTCCTCCCTGGCAGGAGAAGGGCAGCTTCAAGGGGAGCAGACAAAGGCTTTTCTTTAATTGCTCAGAAAACACAGAGGGGTGTGAGATATATTTAACTTCCCAAAGAATGTGGCTCCCAAGCCAAGACATGGAGCTGAAGAGCACAACCAGGTGTTGGGATTTTCTTCCTCTCCCTGAATTTCTTTGTTCTCTGGGAACCTTGTGCTTTTTCTCAAGTTCAGCCTCCAACTAGCAGCTCACCCTCCTCATCCAGGCTGAGGGGATCAATCATAAATCAGCCTCGGAAATATGCAAGACACTACCAAACTAGCTAGATTTTCATCCCTGATTAAGGCTTAGATAAATGAGTACTCCAACTGATATAATTAAGGAGATAGACAGGGGGACAGCTAGGGAAGCAACCCATAATTCTATTTTTAAACATAACTCTGTGCTGATATATAATGGGGGTAAGTAAATAAGTACCTCATTTAAATTCTGTCTGCAAAATTAGAAGTATTAATCTTAACATGAACAATGGTAGTTCACATTGGTAGTTTGCAAAACCTTTTCCATCTGACATAGCCCAAGGAGCACTGCAGGCTCAGGCTGTGTGACCCAGCCTGGGTTTTTCCATCACCTGAATCACACCTCGCAGGGAGGAATGCCTGTCCTCCTGCCTTTTGCCTAAAGACTCTCCAGTGGGTGGCTCCTCAGAGCACCTTTGCTAGAGAAAAAATCCCTTCATTTTGGAAGCCATGAAGGAGAGAAGGGCAGTTTGTCAGGAGACCTCTCATTTGTAAAGCACTCTGAAAATGGAAGCAAATGGAAGATCAGAGCACTAGAGGCTCTGCCCCTGCTGCCTTCCGTGACAGTTTGTTATGAATCTCATGGAGGGTTTGGTGCCAGGAATGCACACCTGGCATCTTGCAGACTCTGCTTGGGCTGCAGGGACCCTCAGGGACCCTCAGGGACCCTCCACGGTGCCGAGTCCTGCTGTTCTGGAAACCACACATTCCTGGGTGGATGCATCCAAACACAGCAAGGGAAGATTGCTGTTACCTATTTCTGACCCATCAGCTGACAATTCCGGATCCTCCCACTAGAGAACAGCTGAAGGGATTGGGCTTTTCTCTCGTGCAGCCCCTGCTTATGTCCAAAGGGCACAAAGCTGCTTTCCTGCCATGGGAGCCCCATGGGTGCTCAGCAGCAGCCACCCCCTCTGAGCCAAAGGTCTTTCCCTGGGCTTTTCCAAGACCCATTTTTCCAAAGGTTGCTCATATTGTGTTTGGCATTTCCTTTTCCCTTTCCTCATCTTCTCTGGTCTTTTTGCTGTTCTGCTCATAGATGGAAAAGCCTTTGCAAAAAAACCCAGTAGCCAAGAACATTTTTCTGTTTGGCAGATGAAGATCCTTTCATTTTGGCTGACATGCTGTGGTTCTCTGGAGGAAGCTGCTGCTTTTCCCCCACCTAATTCCCTTAAGGTGTTGCCCTTCCTGCAATAAAGGCAGGTTCACAACCTCCCCATCAAGATCTATCCTCAGGTGAAGGTGCAGGCTCCAGGCTGGCTCTGCAATGTGAAGCCAGGGCAATGCCCAGGCACTACCCAGGAGCCCTGAGCTCTGCTTCTTACCATATCTACTGATGGATGTCCGGGATATGCTGGCAGAGGCAGGAATGTTGTAGGAGGAGGTTTGTTTGGGAACCAGAGCCACCACCGAGCGGTCTGATACCTGGGCGCAAAAGGGAGAGAAGATCAGTGAGATCCAGCAGCCACCCCATGATCACCAGCTGCTCATCCAGCAGGAGCAGGCAGCAGAATTCCCTAGGATTCAGAGGGGCAGGGAGCTGTTGGCATGGCATGGGGCTCCTGAGGACACAAGGAGCCATCCCAGGCCAGCCCCTGGAGAACCACGTTCCTGCTCCAGCTGAGCTCTGTGCTGGGGCTGGAAGAAAGGAGGGATAAATCAGGAGATGGATTGAAGATGTTTTCGGTCGTTCTGATTTAAGATTACGTTTCATCCAATAAAAATGAGAATCTCAAGAATTGTTGTGATCCAA